TAAGTCAAACGAGCCACCAAGAAGCAGCATCGTAAATCTTATCCTAAACAGGTCGCTCTATGTGCCGTAACCGTTCTTGCTAAGTCCCGAACCATTTTAGACCCTGAATACCGCGGACTTAACTAACTCCCCCAAAATACAAAACCCTCGACCCCAAACCCTAAGTCTCAACCTTCCAACCAAATGGGTTTGGTGCATGTATATATGGACAGCAAGGGACTCAGTTTTGTATATTCAGCACCAAGACCCAAAACCATAAAATCCCTGCAGTACCCTTAAAAACCCTTGAAGGACCCTTTGTAGTACCACAAAAACCTCTTTATTACGTTTCAAGCCCGACCCACAAGCCCAATTAAAAACGAAAACAAAACCTGTAAACCCGAAAACCCGTAATGTAGGGGCATTCATTAGAATAGAATAGGGTTTGGGGGTCCTTTGTAATAAGATAAGAATAGGGAACCCCGAACATAATGCAGATAATTATTGAGACCACTATAGTAAACCCTGAACCCCTTGAAGGACTCCTGTCAAAAACTTAACCCTAAACCCTAAACTCCTAAACCCTAAACCCTAAACCCTAAACCCTAGAAGATTTCAGGAGTAACCCTAAGCCCCAAAGCCTGACGCCGGCCTCGCAGGCCGTGCACTCGGAGACGCCCTGCTCTCCCGACCATCGCCCGGCGGTGCACCTCTCGCAGACCTGTGCTTGGGGGTAAAAGGTTTGGGGTTTAGGGATCACGGTTTGGGGCTAAGGTATTTAGGGCCCTAAACCTGAACCCTAAACCCTAAACCCTAAACCCTAAACCCTAAACGCTAAACCCAATGCCCTGGGGCGCAGAGTTCCGAGCTTTAGGGCTCAGAGTTTAGAGCTTTAGAGTTTGGGGCTTAGGGAATGATCATCTCGTGTCTTGCCTTGGGTAAGGGTTTAGGGTTTAGGGTGTAGGGCTCATATTACAGAACTTTTCAACTGAGAAATACTGCCTACATGTACGTTCTACGGGAGATTCTTCGTGAGGAGTCCTTACCCTATTGAGACCGTTTGGAAATCCTGTGCCCCCAACTCGCATCTCAAAAAACACCTGGACATCTCAGCCCTTGAAATCCCTGGAGACCGAGATAGCAACCTCGTGATGATGTTGCGGATAACTGGGTTCTCCAGTAGCCCCTTAGACATAGGGGTACCATGGGGAGGAATACACTACTCGACCCGCAAATAAAAGGACTAAAGGACACTACTGGGAGGCCTAGATAACAACTTGATCCCATCTGGTGTTGGAGTAGTAGGTTTCTACTGTTGATGATATAGATTACCTTCAGGATCTTAAACTATGGGGCTAATGGCATATTATTTCTGATTATGGGTAGCCTAGACTCTAAACCCCAAATCCCAAAACCCTAAACCCTAAACCCTAGATTCCTTAAGTTATGGGTAATGCAGGATGTATATCATCAACCGTCTTGCGCAGAAGGCCAGGTTTTTGGTTTCTCCGGCTTTGCCGTACCCCATAAACCCTACAGCCTACCTGTAGCCTTAGGGTTT